GTATGAGTACCGATGTCTATCGGTGACATTAAACAATGGTGGACCTTTTGTTACAAACGGACAGAAAACATAAAATGCACATTATTCTAATTCCGACTTAGGGATTGAGCAATAACGTGCTTATTTTCATTAGTGTGAGAGTAGAGCTTAAATGCTGTGGAAGATTATAATTCCTTATAACATTGTTTGTTCGATATTATTATTATTATTTGTCCTTTGGGCTCCTAGAGGAACATAGGGCTTCAGTAACACGTCTCCATTCCACCCTGTTCTCTGAAATCTTCTGAACATGGCTCCACGACAGACCAGAAGCTCTCATTTCTTCTTCACACGATCTCCTCCATGTCACCATCACCTCGGACGCCCACCTCACCGTTTCCCATCTGGGTCCCACTCGAGTGCCTAGAACGTGATGTCCTTGAATGGTCTTCTCAGTGCATGCCCAATCCACTTCCACTTCCTTTTTCATATTTGTTGAGCAATAGGCTCTTGGTTGGTTTGTTGCCAGAGTGAGTTCCTGGTTGCTTATTCTTTCTGGCCATCTGATCTTTAGTATTGAGTAAGTGTAGGCGGCAGCCGTTGATGAATGTCTGTAGTTTTTTCGTTTATTCGACATAGCTAACAGTAATACTGTATCGCTATGTTCTGTGCTTGCTGTCAGACTTTAAGGTACTGTGTTAAAATACCCTTCTGGTCGATGGGGTACATTATTGAAGAAGCTCAAATTAAGAAAACACTTTCCAATCCCAAGTAGCGTTCGACGGCTTTCTAGCTGGTCTAGATTACCAATCAGCGCTACTTTGAAAACTACTCTTCAAGTCGTTACCCTTTTGACAGCTAACTCTAAATAAGCTGCATTACACAGTCTAATCTGTGTTAGGGTCAAGTTACTCAACTAATGTTTTGTCGTTAATCTCGTTCTATTAATAACACTGTTCATGATAAGAACGACAGACGTAATTTGGACAAAGAGTAATTACTGCTGTATGATGTAACACCGTTTCGTGATTACGATAGGTCTATGACTAGATGATATTTATGTTAATAATGGAAGATGCTTATAATTAATCATTTCGTCAGGGATAGTAAAAATGATCAATCCAGAGGATACTAGAAACAACGAATTCTCACCTTATTTTTCACCTTTTTCTTAAAAACCATATGAACTCTTATAAGATAGCTATCCTAGTTAATTTATTGTGATTAATTGGGAAATGTTGTACAGTCATTGGCAGAAGGATATCACAAATAAGGTGATAACTATTTCTCACTGATAAAAAGTTGGTAAGTGACTTACTAAAACTTAGGAGACACAAATTAACTACTTCGTTTTAGTTTGAGTGTGCTTACCGCTGCTTAACCTCGAAGTCAAAAAAAAAGTGAGGCTGGGACTTACTAATCTCCTGATAAGCATCCTAACATCTATAAAAGGGAAGGAAACTAGGCGGTTTGTAGTTCTTATTCCACACAACTCACAGTGTTATGTGAGCATAAAATACTACCAATGGACGTTTGTTTTCCTCCTCAACTTGGTTAGGTGTTATAAATTGTCAGAGTGCTGAGAAACTCATCTTACTAGCTTATTATTTATTTAGATTATTTGGTTTCGATAGAATATAAATGAGTCAAAAAGCTGAATTCAGTCAATAATGGGGATAAGAACTTAGTGTTAATTTATAAATTAGGCGGACAAGATCTTCAGTCTGTAGATCCTCCTTTCTGATCAATGTTAAGCACCCTGAAACGCAGGTCTTTCCACGGTCTAACTGCAACCATGATAAACTAAACGAAGTGTACTGGTAATATTTAGTCACTTCACTTAGTTGACACACTACAGTCCTACCGTTTGTTAAGAAATAAGCCATTATAGCTTAGTATAAGTGAAAGGAGTTATAGCTTATTGGTTTAGGGAGGTAACTTTCAATCAATGGGTCGGAGGTTCGAGACCCCTTCCACCAACTGATGTTTGGGTAGCCAGGTAGTATCACTAGCCTTTACACTATAGGTGTGCCTTGTTGCCTACTGCACGAATATGCGTAAGGTTGTTCATTGCATGTGGATTTGGAACATGCATAAAGTTTTTCACTCTGTTTGGTTATAGTGTCAAGCATACATAGTGTTTTGAACCAAATGTACTCTGACAACCAGTTGGATGATGCAAAGCGAGGTATCATGAACAATGTCATTAGTTTTTAGCCTGTAAAGAGATCCAAACTTCACATTTTTGGATTTTCACCTATATCACTTCACGAAAACGTTTTACACTTAGTTTTTGGGCTGTCTGAACTATAAGTAAGTGCAGAAACCCTTAAGATAAGCTCCAACTATATGCATTACTCATTTTCTTTTACTAACGCCATAAGATGGTTTAATTTTCCTCTAACACTTAACACTAAACAACCATCAGATTTACTTGGATTTTTTTACTATTTGACGCAAAATTATGCGGTTTTTCATCTACTTTAAAGAGGAACTGTAATTTCTAGAAATTAATAACAAATTTTCATAATTTCTGTGGAGTGTAGTAAAGACTGATCGTTTCAGAGGTAAAAAAATATCCTGAAGCTTCCAAATTTTTTTACGCGAAAGAAAAACGTATACTTTATTTTGAAACAGAAGTGAACTGAAGATTTTTTTTGGGGAATCTTGAAGAAGAATCAAACAAATGAAACGTACGGTTGGCTTTATTAGTAAACCCCCCAAAATTTGCTTCGTTCACAGATGACGTATATATACTCAAATCCTGTAATTGAATGCAGCCTTTATGAATAATGCAAAAAGCATGTCCTATTGCATAAAGATACTTGGGAAGATGATTATTAGGTTATTTTCCGAAAAAGTTTTTCAGCTGGGTTGAAGAATAGGAAGATAAGCGACTGAAACTAGAAGGAAGTTTTGGACTTATCAGTAGCATTTAATCACAATATTATAAATGGTCAAGCTGAGGACTATTCGACCTCTTAGTAGGTTCATTAATATTTACTAGGTTGGCAGCGATTTAACGATTTAACAAGTCCAGGCTACCAATCCAGGATAGAACTGTTTGATCAGTTGAATCAGATTTGATGATTGATACTCATGCCTGATAAAAATGATCGCTATACTTCGGTGTAAACTTAATAAACTTGAAAAATGTAAACTATCATTCTTAAGAACTGATGGTTGTGCACAGTGTTTCCAATTATTGTTACACTAAGGAGATATTTCAAACCGGGATGAAGTAAGTGTCTACTATTGTTTGATCTGCTTTAGTTCTCTAGCTGAAGTGAACTTTTGGTGAAACTGCCTTGAAATCAATCACTTCCCAAAACATCAACGGATTAAAGAGTATATAGCGTGGTTATTTTATAGTTTTAATGACGATATTACCGATAAAAATATTGATACAGATTTATTCTTTTGAACACGTTAACTAATTGATTTTTTTCTTGAGTTCAACCCTCTATGTCTGGGATCCCTGAGCCTTCTAGAATGGTTAGTTTTTAGGCGATATTTGTCCAAGTATGAGGTAATTTTTCTCGATATAGATTGTAGGGGAGTTCAAAGTCACGCATACGTTTTTAGTTATAACTGTTCAACATGACGATTCCGTGTCCTAGTTAGACTACATCCATTGAGATTATTTCAACACCCTTCGTTACAAACACCAGTATTTTATTCTCTAGGCTTGTGAGTCACTGAGTTCACTTCTTATGCAACAAGTATTATTTGTTATTGTTTGGACCAAGTAAGGTTCTATCTTCATATCTTAGTTACAAAATCAATAAATCAGTAGTCCATCTAAATGTGTTACATGTAACAGTACCTTGTATAACGATATGTATGATTGAACTAACAATACGCCATAGCTGATAAACTTTTCATTCCTTAACTATGGACGCATAAAGAGGAAATCATTCAACCACTTTCTATGCAAGCATTCAAAATAATGATCATATTCCTCTTTGTTAATCTATTGTATAAGTGTATGAGCCTATTTCGGGATGATCAGAAGGCTTTCCTAGCAATTAGAGCCACTGTAACTAGTATAGTTAGTTGGATTTTCGCATATGTTCGAAGCATTATGAAAAAAAAATTGATGGATCTTTTGTATGTCACTAATATTCCACACACTAGGAAATATACTTACTAAGGCGGCCTCCAAAATTATTCAAAAGTGTACTCTCGTTGAAAAGCTTTTTAGATACTATGTCTATAAAGTGGATCAGAAAAAAGTTGAAAGTTATCCTCTTTTATCGATTGAATTACTGCGATAGATCGAAAAACAGACACAAGCAACAATCTATCAGCATTATATAACAACTTTGCAAGTTAGCATACATCACAGCAACATATTAAGAAGCAAGTCAACAGGCGGAAAGATAATGAAGTGATAAGAATAACACAAGAAATCGTAAATGTCAAACTATAAAAAAGATCAAATGAAGGAATGAAATTATATATTATAATTAGGCGGAAAATTCGACATAAAAGTATCTCCACCAATACAATAAACTTTGATTCATTTATATTACACAAAGTCTGTGTGAATCGATTCCAGTTTTTTTTTCAAACAAGAAGCCAATATACTATTCAGATCAAGATCTCAGTTGGACTATGCTTCTTATACAATCAACAAAGCCAACTTGTGATTAAACAAAACCTTTCTCTTAACATCTTATAATGATCAGGCATTGCATATCAGTAACTCTTTGTAGTGTTGTATTAAAGGCTTTCATCCCAGCCATATGTGTAACGTGTAACTCTGTAGGCCATCTAACTAATAACTAAAATATCTAAATCTGCTTGGATATATCCTCCGGAAAGTTAGTATTTTCATAAAATGAAAAAAACTTTATTCCAGTAATTGCTAGGGTGACCTTCAGAGTCATTCTGTGTTACTAGACTAACCTTTTAATCACTAATCTCAAAAGGGAAGTCCCCATTAATAAAATGATACATGTATTATATATATATATATATATATATATATATATACTTTAAGAAAAATATCAATTTACTTGAGTTTCTTCACAGTGTTGATCTGTTGTTAATCGACTGAAGTTAATATGATCACTTGAATCTAAAAACTTTTTATCATTTGTAGTTTTCATTTTTCTCTGTTTATTTTTATACAATTTTTGAACAAATAAAATGCATGTCTATCTGCAACAACCAGAAAAATGTGCTAATCACTCTCTTTTGAAGAGGTATATTGTGATTGATATAAGTAGCAATATTGCTCGCCGATGATTATTCACATAAAGAGTGTATAATTAAATGATAAGTATGGACAATAATCTGATTGACAATTGAAGAATTTCACTGAAGCATTTATTACTATGACGGGATGGGTATGTCTTTGTATTTCTATGTCTCTCTATCGATCATCTTTCTATCAAAAGAGAATATTGAAACGGCCACACACGCACATGTGATAATTGACGTTGACATAATTCAACCAATAAGATTTTAATATCCACGATGTAGGAAAAAATAAAAATAAAAAATACTGTTGTTAACTTCCCAACAATGCATAACATATTGATAACACAAAGTTAGGCATAGCAGTAATATATCCTCATGGACAAATGAGTGATGACATTTTCTTCCGAACAATAACTTACAGTAAAACATTTTAAAAAATATCTTAAGCACATGAATGAGCCGGATCCGCAAGTGACGTTTGGTTGATATTGTGCAACTAACTACTAATTCGTAAACTACGTAGTTTCGTCCAATTGTGACATAGCGACTGGAAGATGAATTTATTTGACTAGATAGTTTTAGTTGTATTTATCGATTCGTCCACATCTGTGAATCCACTTATAGCGGCTAATCGCCTTAAAAATTTAACCTTACGCACTTGAGAATACCTCTTTAGGTAATTAGAAACCACCAATAATTTTATGTTAGCCAAGTCAGTTTAGATGAACTATAAGAGAAATATGTATCAGCTACTTTAGATTATTCATTGAGTCCTTATAAACTATAGAAGCAGTGGAAATTAGGATTAACTAAAAGAAACAATTGTGTTTGAAAAGGGAATAGGTGTAACCGCTACTACTATCTTGACCTACTGTGAAACTAAGAGATTCATGAGGGGCTTGTAACACCGAACGTTTCGTTTTTGAATCTCCACTTTGCGCATACCTTCTCACCTCTAAAATCGTAAGTAATTTTACTGTATTTGATTCGTTCATTTTGTGTTCATATGTACTTAAACTAGTATTCCTCAAATTACTCTTTTTTATTCTACAGTCACATAAACACAAATATTCACAAGCAAAAACTGGCTCTTTATTTCCAAAAGTTATCTCATTTTTGCCTATATATTCACATAAAGCTTATAACAAGACTGAGCAGGATTCGTTCTAAACTTTAACTTGGATAAAATCCCTATCAAAATCAAAATACATTACTATGCAGTACTCGTTAGTAAGATTATTCGAGATGAATATCCTAAAGTTCTAGTGAGAAGCCGTGACCTATGGGGTTAACTAGTCTGAAGTGAAGCCGACGTCAAGTGAAAACCCGGATGGATTGTCACACTATATCGTAAACTGAAAGAATTCGGGAACTGTGGACCAGTAGCTGAATAGTTAACGTGTTCAGCGCAAGACTTGAAGTTCCTGAGTTAGATCTCTGGTGGGGTGGTGGGTATCTATTTATGTCAATCCGTGAAGAATACTACCTTAAAAATAAAATTCCCATTAACCTCAAAATACACTAATCATCCAACTTGCTAAAACTTGCCACTTATTATAATTTACATTGAAAATATTCTATGAAATAATTGATATTCACCATCTATTTTGAAGATGCTACCACCTAATGTCAAACGTCAACCTTTTACTAAGTGACAAATATTTAGGAGAATATTCGCTGAAATCTTGACCAAAGTTCATATACATTTGCCATCTGGTATTTTACGAGATCTTCATAATGATTTGTTGATATACTTTTAATTCTCCGTCAGTATACAAGATCGAACTGATCGACCACTGTTGGTATACAAGCCCCAATGTAAATGCTTAGATATTGCCTAAATATTTGTACAAGAGGTGGCTTTATTGCCTTATTGGCCTAGTGGACAACGCTTAAGCGTTTGAAGCGATGAGTACCATCTTCGAGTCTCATTGGGAGTAACATCACTCACTGGAGTCCAAGTACATCCAGCTAACGAGTCCCAAACAGGACGAAATTCGCATCTAGGATTCCACTGCAAGCGATAAATAGGTTAATCATACGTAATCGCCTATAAATTTGTTTCGAATCAAATTCTACGAAAAGATTCGAATTTAAACATGGTAAGTGACTAAGCATCACTACCAAGTAGAATTTTTCAACTGATTGATTCAAACTATCCACTGTTATCAAATTCCACGTATTGTTGTTACTGATAAAAATTTGACTTTTATACCTAAGGAATATAGAAAGAGATCACTACTGAACTTCAGCAGGTAGTTTTCGAAAACAATACGCTCTCTCTATGAACCAATAAATTGAGCAGGATAACGTAAAAGAAATTTATTTCTGGTATACATAAACATTGATTAACTTAAACAAAATACCGCCAATGAATCTTTTGGCTAAGACAAGTTCAAACATTCAATTATGTGAAATGTTTAAGAAAATAAATTATAAGATTGAATGTAATGAAAAGAATATTTTTCAAAAGGAATCAACTTCATGTTCAAACTTGAGCGAAAAACAACCTGCAACTTTTCTTTTCTCTTTTAAGATTTAATCCTTTCTTGCTGTTTTCTACATACTGCCATGAAACACATTCTCTTCAGAAACATTGTCAATAGAAGATGATTCGAAGTGAATTCATCCATAAAGTTTGAACACTGTGAAAGAAAAACCATCGACTGAGTATTGTCATGATAAACTGACGTCAGCTCAAGGAAGGGAAAATGAAGAGACGATTACCACAGACTAAGAATCAGTTGTTGAGGTGTAGCTTGCCAGTCATCAGTGGTACACTCACACAGAAACACCCCGTTTTCTGTATCAGAATATAAACTATGAAAATGAAGCGACTAAGAAGACCATAGTTTAGAATGAGGGCGGAAATCAGCTTTATTTCCTTTTAGTTTTCGTTTGTGAACGTAGGTATTGTATCAATTCGCGCTAAAGACACCCTAATTGTTAATTCCATACTGAAGAAATGAATTGTTTACAATCAAACATCAAAGTTTTAAAAAGACATCGAGAAATTCCTAACCATGAATTCTAACCCTTTCACTTTATGGGGGAAATAATAATGATAACTGAAATTCATGGTAGTAGTAGTTTAAGGCGAGTACATATTTAAACAAAACGTGATGTTTTCATCGTTTCTGCAGCTATTCTGCCTATGTCCGAATCTTTAACCAACTAAGGAAAAACATGAAAGTGGAGGATTTTTGAGCAATTTGAAATATTTAATTCGCTAGATCGAGTCCCTCCCAGCTCATCTGTGATAATTTCAGTAGTAGACAATCATAATAATTGTGCATTATTAAGACCACCTCAGTCTGGCTAATCAGTATTGAAAATGAATATAAGTGATTTCAGACTACTCATGATAATTAGTAGTATGTGCAACACTATTCCCCCACCCTCTTACTGGGAGTTATTCTTAGTCTCAAGCGGGTTATGATTTCTGTTTTCAGCACTTGAATTTCATATGAAAGCATGATCGAATCTTGAAACTGATTCAGATCAACTTGTTTCATTCTCACTATAAGCTGAAAATCCAGCTAGAACAATCCATTAGCATACGTAAAATTTTCCATCAAATCAAACATTATGATGAATAGCAACATTAGAGGAAACAACAATGTAATACTTCTTGGTCGTATATGGTTCACAAGAATCATACACACAATTCTTAGTTAGAAATCAACAGTTATGTTTAAAGTATAAATATGTTAACTAACGAAAGAATTATATTTCAGTAGTAATTCCTTTTACAGTGTAAGTAGGCATTGATGATAAATTAGACAAATATCCTAAGAAGTGTAGGTGTCAAACTTAGGCACTGTGACATATGACGATTCAATTTTAGTTTGTTTATCAGATGTATCCCAAAGCGAAGTAGTATTATTTACCGAAAACAGTTCCAGACAAAATAAGAGGTAACCACATACGTTGTGAATGACAAAGAATCAGATATCACAGACTCATTATACTGATTTAGTTGACTGATACTTTTATCCTTACCATTGAATTCATCTATCAAACGAAAAGTAAAACAAGACTATTGGCAGCAAACAGTAAAGAGTCTCCTAGTGAACAACATTCATCAGAAAATAAGTGAATACTGAACATTCAGTGACTAAATACATCAACTTCAGAACAACGCCTCTCAATAGACAATGCTACGGGAGGAAAAGTGGTATGTAGCTTAAGACAGTGATTTTACCTAAACTCTGCTTTCTGCAGATAAAGAATACAGAATAGCTAGGAACTCTAATCGTCTGAATGTATTAGGCCAATCCCATCGTGTTCAAATCCAGCTGACGGTATATTTCCACCATATGACTACATTTAAGCGTCACCTAGTTATTTGCAACACCAAAGTAGATGATTTTATTGAATGAAACCGTGAGCATCAGAATAGATTAATCGTTTTATCGAAGAACTGAGTTTTTTCATCATCGTGTAACAAAAAACATTTTAGAAAAAAGAGTATGTCCTAAGACCTATACGAAGCTTGTGAGAATTAACGTGTGAAAAACCTAATGCATAAAAACATGTTATGATCTCTTTATCTATTAAGTGTTGACCTGCTGAAGTAAGGACAAGAAGAATATAGAAAATATCATCTTAAAAATTCCGGTAATACTTCAGAGAGTTGTTTTAAATGTCTACCCCTTTTCACACTCAATTAACGCTATGTACTCATCAAACACTTTTTCACTGAGATAGATCTCATAACTATTCTCTGGTTGTGTACTGCATGACCATCATACTTACCGGACACTTCTTTTTCATTGAAGCAATATAGTCATAAGTTTCATAAGATATACAAGTGTGAGGCACTTTTTTTAAGATTTTGAGCGTCAAATAGCAATAATTTTTGCTATCCTCAGTTTTCATGGTTGTAGGCACTCTTCAACAGAGT